CCTCTATAGACAGGCGCTGTAAGAAGATACAGACAGTCCCCAGGGTGGCCCAGCACTCTCATCCCCCTCAAGTCAGCTCAGCAGAGTGGAGACCCAGGCCTCGAGGACGCTGAAGCTGAGTAAACAGAAGAAGCTGGGACTTACCTGGCGGGTCTCGGAAAAATAGCAGAAAGACTACAGTGAAGGTTTAGCGCCATCTGTCGGTCATTCTGGGAACTGCATCTCAGTCGACCGGGCTGCGGAGAGCAAAAGGCACCTGTAAACTAGCCAGTGGGGGTTTCTTTCTCAGGCAAGAAGTTGCTTCCTTTCTGCCCATTAAAGCACCCTGAGAGACTGTCCGGTTCAATTGCTCTTAACCTCTTCAAGATCTCAGGCCCTTTTAATAAGCCCCTGAGCACTACAAACGCTTAACCCCCGGAGAACACTTGTACTTGATTTTGCATATAATTCCAGAGAGTCGGCCGTCCTTGGGTTAATATCACTTTCTGAAACCCGGAGATGCCAAAGGCTTTGCCTACGCTCACACAGCCTGTGAGTGGCAGAGCCAGGTCTGGAAGCCAGAAGTTTCAGCTTCAAATCTACTCCTTTCTTACGCTCAGGCTGCCTCTTTAAGCCTTAAAGGGTTTCTCCATTGTTCTTCCCTTCCAGAGTTCTGCGGATGTCTGTAGCGGGTGGGGGCAGTGTTTGACCAGTCACCAGCCATCACGAGGACTGTGGCATCCCCATCTCTCCTGAAGGTTCTAGATTCTTGGACAGCTCTGCTCCCTGCTGTCCTGCCTCCTCCTAGGGCCACTGTGGTGACCCCTACCACCACTTAGGGGCCCCAGACCCAGCCTCCTGTTTTGGGAGCCAGGACAGGGACCTGATCAGCCACCAAAAGGCCGTTGCCCTTGGATGAATCTCCAAACCTCCCTGGCCCTTGGCTTCCCCATGTGTGAAGTGCCCAAGTTGGGGACAGCCATCTCCAAGGGCTCTTCCATGGTGCTGCCCCTCTCAAACTCCAACTGTGCCCAGACTGGCCCAGGGGCGTGTTCCTCAGAAGCACCTCTGGGTGACTTCCCCAGTCAAGCACCAAGAGTCAGGGTCAAAAGCTGGACTCTTTTTCAGAATCAGAGGCCCTGGGTGGGTGGAGTGGGGGGCGGGGGAAACACAGGAGTCAGGATCTTTCAACACCCTCTGTGGGCCTTCAACTCAGGACAGAGAGGCAGAGCAAGGGGCATTGCTTGGGGCTGGACGAGTGTGAGGAATACTGAGTGATGGATAAGAGAGTGGCTGGGAGGGTCCAATGACATAATGCACAGGGTTTGGTATACAGTTGATGGCTAATAAGAGAGACTTGTTCTATAACCGGGCCCCTCGTAAGCTCTTTGTTCAACAAACATCAATTCAGTTTTTTATTGGAGCAGAGGTTCTCAAACTCGAGCGTGAATAAGGATCTCCTGGAGAGCTTGTGAGTGGCA